AATTCATTGGGATTACCTGTTTTGCAGTCAAAAACTCCTCTACCTTATTATAATAAGTAGCATCACCATCCGAACGAAAACCCTCTGGCCCAGTGATGTAAATTTTCTTCTGAGACATTATTTTCGTCTTATCGTATATGCTATGTGCACTGGTGTTCAAAATTATACAATCAAAGATAGCGTGTTTCGCTGAAGGGATGCTGAAAACTGAAAGCAAAAAAAAGGGAGTCGAAATGGAGAAGAATGCAGTAAAAAGTACCACGTCATCACAATGTTAGAAGGGGTTACCTTTCCCCTTCTTGTACAAAACGCAATTCAAATGGCTTACTGAGCATAAAACGTTGAAAAGGTAAGTTTGATCACTTTCCAGTTGAACAATTTGTACCGGATTCGACTCAATCCATAAAAACGACATCCTCTGAATACCTATCCGCATGAAAGAAGACAGAGCAGCTTCTGGGGTGCTGAGTGAATATGACCTGCCAAATGTCTCAAGGCTTCCTAGCCCCAACCTTTTTATCATGGCCCCACTAATATTGAACCCATGCACTGCATCACTCAAGACTACTACAACCCAAAAACTTGTCGAGTCGGATAACATCGAGAGGCGCAGAATAGGTTGGATTGATGAGATAATGGACCGGAATGTCATCATCACCGTATCTTGAGGACGCATCAGCAGAACCTCGCCATTCGTTGAAGCACACAGAGTTGTTCCACTGTCATTCAATCTCAAGACCCATACAAAAGAAACTGCTTCAGACAACTGACGAACGTTCGGAGCGCTCGATCTTAGCCCATTCATAGACACACGCCTGCCTATCGGTAAGTGCGCCAAAGGCACCACTAATCAAAGTCAGGTAAATCGGTCCAATTAAAGACAATATCGAATATGCAGAAAATAAAATAATCTCGTAATCCGAAGAAGCAACGTGTTTGACATTATCGCAAAAGTCTGAAAAAATCGTAAATACTTCCTTGACGGGTAATCAAGAGGACCTCTGTACAACCGTCGTCGCCAATTAACGTCAGGACGCCGTGAGCACCGACACTTTGGTTGTCGGTAACCTGTTGGGGGTACCAAATCCGAATGAGTGGCAGCCAGTGAGAGCGACTATTGTCCTCCGTTGGATGGTTCTCTTTGTCCTAAGCCCTATAAACCAATAATCGCATCGAAATAGTTCGTGCTCGGTTAATTCATCCGATCGGCAGAGCTTGGGGTCCCATGGTGTAAGTAATACTGAACCGAAATGATGTGTGTTCAACAAATTTCAGCGATCCCTTGTGATTAACCATATTTTTCAGTATACATTTTGGCTCTGTGATGTTTTCTGTCTACGAAATACCTCCAAAATTCAAAAGTAGGTATTCCCATAGGAAGGATTTACCAGATTTGGTGTAAGGATCCCAGAACCAGTGTATGTTTGAATCATGTGAATTTTGCTTAAAGATATGAATGATTTGTAGTTGTCATATTTTTCAATTGACATTACCGGCACAAGTTGGGTTCACGGTGTTTGGTTCTCATCCTCGGTCCCATTTGACATGATTAAGGTATGTCAATACGATCTGAGTTGGTGAACTCGGGTCCAGGTTCAGCAGATGGTTAAGGTATTAAAATAATGAATAAACTGTATATGGGAAAGGGTGATGGAGAAAAAGAGGATTATTGAAATAATCATATTGGGAATTTATACAGTTTATTGTGGTATACACGTGAATTGATACTACCCGTTTGAAATAAAAGTTCAAATAGGTCTCAGATAGGAATCAACATCTTACGATGGGTTGATAGAATAAAACTAACCCAAAATATTCTGATGATATAAATCAAAGAACGTTTTTTAGAAGACATCAGACAATAGTAGCGAAATGGTAGCATCTGTGTGTAAAAAAAAGGAGGATGCTGGGGAGATGTCAATAGAATATTATAGAAAGATCAAGCATAAGGATTACAACAGAAACCTATAGAAGAATGAATATTAATATATATATTAGAATCAAAATAGAAAAAAGCACTTTGTTATAAAATATCATGTATTTTTTAGATGTCCTTAAATAGTGTGGATATCATTCTCAAATTCGTCGATTTTAATGATATTCCATTTTTCGCTACGCCTATACACCTTATTAGGTTGTGTATGGGCAAAAACAATTATGTGACAGAACGGTTTGTAGATGATGTGGCAACTAGGTCTGGAGCACATCACAATTTTCTTGTTGAGTTTCTCCAGATCCATGTAACCGTGCCATCCGTCACGGATATATTGCCTTGGTAGGTCGCAAATGATGACTTTAGGCCATTTTCCTTTCTTTGCCATCTTTTGAATACTGGAGGCTGTCTTTGGCAAACTTCTAGAGTGTATTATACCGTCATATTTAAGTATTAGATACTCAGCGAGGTATGTTTTACCGACGTATCCCTCTGATTCCCAACACCAGTATATTTTTCTTCCATCTGGTTCTGTTTCACACATATCAACTATATGTTGCTGCCATGGTTTCCAGCTGACGTTTATATAATCTTTGATGTGATTTTTTTTCATGGCGTCCTTAGAGAATCCTTTATATTTCGCATGTCCCAGAACAAAACTTTCGATTGTGGAACCATTGGCATTTGGTTTGTTAAAGTATAGAATTGGGTTTTGATCTTTCTTTTTAATTTTGGCAATATTTTCATCCCTTGTATCGACCGCCACTGAAATTTCTGCTGTGTTGTTATGAAGTAGGAATTTGAGTTCTTGAAAGCCTCCCATTGGGTTTGTAAATTCGATGTACCCTTGTAGATGGATGAGGCCGGTTTGGGATGCTGTTTCCTTTGCGCATATAAGAACCGTTATATTATCGTATTGGATCGGATATGTGGAACCATTAGAGCCTCTATAATAGTGTACGTTACCGCTGAAGGGGAAGTTAAATGGTGTTGAATGGATGTTTGCGGTGCTGACGTTTGGGCAATCCAGACTTTTGGATTTTGTTAGGGTTGTTGTTAGTTCTTGATCGATGGCAATGGTGGAATTTTCTTCATTGTTGTAAAGTGGTTGGTTATTGTCAGTGTTTGGTATCGAACTTTTGGGTATTTCGATGTTTCGTTTTTTGGGGACCCTTTCGATTCTGTCTGATGATGAATCATTTTCCTCAGTGAATGAAGTTTGATGATTTCGATTCTGAAGAATATTGATAGGGGGCGAAACGTTATCTATTGAATTATCATTCAATGAACGTTTGCGTTTGTGTGAGGTATGGCATTCTGAAAATTCAGGGGGTTGGATGGGTTGTGTGAATGAAGATGGAGATCTTGCATTTGGTGGATGGCTTGGCTGATCACCTTGATTAAGAACTGGTAAGATGTTTGGTTTGGGTATTGTGTCGTTGGAAATAACAACCGCCTCTACAGTTTGATTAGTCTCAGTGTTAGGTTGTGGAATGGGACTTGTGTCTTTTACGGGACCGGTTTTACGTCCATTGCATTTACTTGCCATGTACGTGGTTAGTTGATCCAGGTAATGCCAAGTTTCTTCGATATCCGTGTTTATGGTAAAGCAAAATTTCCTGGAGCAGGTTCGTTCTTTATTATTCTTTTTTTCTTCGGTGTTGTTATTTTCATTTTCGTTATTCTTATTGGTTTGGAAAGTATTTCCGTTAGGAGGCATGATTGTTAAAAATGTTATAGACGATATGAATAAAGCAATTGGATCTATAGAATAAGCTATATGATAATGGATTGTTAAGAATGATATGATAGATGGTTGGGGTTAGGTAAGGCATAGAAATTTATTTGGTCAAAAAGATATGCCTCCAAAATTAATAAGGTTGTGTGACTTTTAATTTATTAAGAATGAAATAATTTTTATAAAATACTGAAACTTAGACACAGTACAAATAATAAATAATTTGTATTCAGAGTGGTTGTGTCCACTAAAATAGACTAAATATATTTTATAAAGTTTATTAAATATTCTGATAATAAATATAGATAATTTCATCTACCCTATCATGCCTTTCCGATATGGGGGCCCTAAACGGTGGGGTTACACCTAGGATTCGGTCTACGATCTAACGGGAAAGTATGCCCGCACAATGTTTGGTGGAAACAATCGGATGAATTCCGGATTGGTGAAGTTGCCTTCGAACGTCCACTAGAAACGAGCGAGAACCCTGACCCATTCTCATCATGAAACCTACTTTATCGGAAAAAGGTATGTGGATGACATACAAGGTTTATGGATATTAATAATAAATTATTGGGCTTCCATTATATTTTATGGACGAATGGGAGAGTAAAAGACGCGGCCATGAGGATGAATGGCAATTGGCACGTCACATGAAAAACCTAGTGTCGCGTCGGGGTTTGGAGAACCCAAATACCCCTCAGGTGCTGCTGTTTTCACGTGGGGAAAGTAAACGTACCCTAACCCGTTTAATCCCCAAAACTCCTTCACGCCTAAATGCATCGCCCTCGCCCCACGCCTTTAGAACCCTTTGAATCTATTAATCTCTTCAGATAGCAAATCTCCCAACATCAGGATTTAAAATGCTGGAGAATTAGAACCTAAATTCCATATTCCATACGTCTTGAATTTTAAAAATCTCCACCCATACACCGTAGGACTATTTCAGGTTAAAAGATGTGCCGTTGCACTGAGTAACCATGCAACAGGACTCCCACCCCCACTTGCTCACCATAGGCCCGCATCCCGGATAATTACACCCTACGAGTCAAAAATCAATGCTCTAGTAAGATGCAAAAGACAGGGTGTGTGTGGAGAAAATTCATTTAAAGGAGAACGGTCTCACCCCTATGAATTTAGATATTTCTTGTGAAATTTTCTTGGCTGATATAAAATAAAATAATGAGAGAAAGAGTGGAAACAGCTGTAGCATTCGCTGGACTTATTGAGTTCTGGAAATCAAAAGCAGTTGATGTTAGAAATACAACGAAGCAAAAGCCATTAGATTTTGTACTTGCGTGTGAAGGAAACCTGGAACTCTTCCTGGGCTAAGCATATGAACTTAAAATTTAACGTCAATAGCTTAGACCATAAGTGGCTCCCGTCTCAAAACCAAACAAAAAAAAATAGAAAGGACCAGATGGTCAGCTTTCTTGTGAAACTTTATCTGATGTCTGCTCTTCATGATTGCATTTAGAATCATCCCTGTGGTGATCTTCGATTTCAGGTGCGTCCCACGAAATACCTTTGGGTTTCGTAAAACAACGCCCTAGTTGGCGAGTCAAGCAGTCTGCGGATTCAAAAACGTCGGGAATTTCGCCTTTGCACGAGACTATAACATTATAGCCGACGTGCAGGAATTCCCTCCCAAGGTAGGAAAAGGATACAAGCAGCGCAGTAGGTCCAGTTGGGTCGGGAATCTTACGAAAATCTGGGGGATCTGTTTCTATTAAAAGCTCATGCTTTCCTAGGCTTGTTAGCGGGCCGACCTCCAACTCATCCAAACTCTGATCCACAGGAAAGTCCCAGATGGGAGACCAGGTGAAGCGAATATCAATAACCGATTCAGGGGCCTTCTCAAAGACTTCTAATACAATCTTCAAGGCAATCGGGTCGTCGAATCGCGAAGGGTTCGGTCCATTAACAGCGATTTTCCTCAATTCGACGCGCGTTGTCATAAGGTCACACTTAACAATAGGATTCACGCTAAGTAATGGGAATAACGCTGATAATTTTCTATCAATGTAAAAAGGTTCTTGAAAGGGAAAAAAATGAAGTAAATAAGAAAAAACAATGAAGGCGCCATTAACTCGCATCGGCTCTTCGCGGTGAAGTAGTATCTACCACTTTCGGGAGAACAACAAATGCTGGTCCTTACAGTCCCAACACAAAGAAACCTAAATGGGGACTCCCCTGCTCCCCACACACACATCATAACTAAAACTTTCAACAAGGCGTTTAGATTTTACCCGTTGACCTTTTGATAAGATCGGTGGTATTGTACGAATGCCACGGGAGCACGGTCCCGGTGGCGGGCTGATTCAGGTGCCATTTTTGATGGTGCTTTACCATCTCGTACTCATCCACGGTGGATGGAAAGTCCCTGTCCGTTGGGGGGCGGACGTAGTGAGAATGCCGGCGACCCGCGTCGGGATGCGCATACTTGTTCTCGTCCTCATACCATTGTGAGAGCCACCCGCGCTTGCTCGGGTTCGTAGCGAAACTCTCCATCCCCTTTTTCTCCGGCAGCTCTTGATCGGTAAAGGTGGGAAACTCCTCCGGATGCAGCTCCTGATATAGACCCTCATGCGTCATATACACGCAGGTAAACGAGCCCCCGGCCTCCTCAAGCAGTTTGATCGTCTTGGTAGACGCGTTTTGCAACTCAATGTTGAGTGGGTACGGCACCCTCTCGACGTCTCCGGCAAGCAACACCATCCCGGGCCAGTAAATCTCAAACCCCCCGATGACGTGCGCCTGCCGCAGGTGAAAGAGCGTGATGACCTCGTTGGGGTTGAGCCGCCCGCTGTCGACCGCCCAGAGAATTTTGCTGAGCAGGAGACGCGAGAAGGTGGCCTTTCCCTCGTAGCGGTTTCGCGGCCCCCCCGGCGACACCCGCGGGGCCAGCATGAAGCGCGGGGTCATCTTTCGCTCCTGCCACTGCCCCTTGGCGGGGCCCTTCCGGGCGTTGTTGTAGGCCCGCGCGTACTTCCAGCTCCCCCCGATCTTCCTCCAGCCCATCGTCGGGATCAGGTGCCCGGTGCGGGGGCCGACGAACTCCGGCGTGGGCGTCAGGTCGCGCTCGCTCTGGGTGATCTGCGGGTTGAGGTAGTGGTCCCAGTGCGACCACCGGTGCGTCGTCGTCAGCTCGGCGAGCCGGGTCCCCAGGACGGGGAGGGGGTGGTCCTCGTCGAAGGCGCGGCGCCCCGCGTAGTCCTCCCAGCTGCACCGCGGCCTGGCGAGGAGGCGGTTTTCGTAGATCAGCGGGAAGACCGTCTTGGCGGGGTTGAAGTGGAAGGGGACGTTCTGCCGGACAGGGTGGAAGAGGCGGTGGCGGGGGGCCGCGCGCGTGCAGCCGAACATGCCGGGTGGGGGGAACTTCTACAGAACTGGGGGTTAGCCCGAAAGAGAGAGAGGGACAACAAGGAAATACCAAGACAATGAAGCACGCGAAGCAATCATGGCAGGCGCCAGCCATAAGTGGCAGGGTTTCAAAATGAAGGAGTATTAGTCTGAAAGGTAACTATTTACACCACTGAGGCGTCAAAAGAGCACCTGTCGCGCAGGTGCATCATCACACACTATGTACATCCAACACGGGGCGTTTCTTCGCAATCCATGGGCGTCGCCCGCGGAGGCTCGTGAGTCGGTCCGTGCGCCCTCTCTCTCTCTATGGGGGCAACCCAACCGAGTCCACCTGAGCACACAGCTCCTCATGGACCTCTTCAATGGGTCTTTCACCATTAATGCGAACAAAAAAGGATTCATAGCACTCGATGACTTCATGATATTGGGACTTGAAATTATTCAACCCTAAAACTGGCGATTCAGAAGCCGTATCCATGTTCGGTACATCCGAAGAAGACGGTGGACGCGAGTTGATATTGCGGTTTTTTGCGAGACGAAGCGCTGCAGTCTCATTCGTAACATCCAGATAGAAGAACCTTTGAGGGAATATCCCTTCAGACTGGAGATAAATGGCCTGGGAACGGGTTCGTGGGATTCCCTCTAGAATCCAACCATTCCCGTTTTCCTTTGCGGCGCGTATTTCATCAAAAATCAAATCTATAAACAACTTATCGGGTACAAGAGCCTGTCGTTTCAAATAAGACGCGATTTCCTGACCCTTGCGGGTTGTGTCGGTGCTCGCTTTGCGCAACACATCTCCCGCGCTGATATGTCGAACTCCATACTTTTTGGCCAAAAGTTTGGAATGGGCACTTTTCTCGCTACCAGACAGCCCTGCAATCATAAGGCGGAGTCCCGTGGGCCTCGAAAACGTTTTCAACAAAAAGTTTAGTGGATCATCCGGCATCGCAACCAATAAATCATGGAATGCCTCATCCAATAGTATTTTGATCTTCTTTTCTTCAAAGTACTTCAAAGAAGTATCCGATATGTTGCCGGTAGCCATATCGCTCCGTATGGGTCCGTTTTGATCCTTACACGTACCTTTTCCCACCCTCTACCACTATTTTCTATATGGCTACTAAAAGATAAACCCGTTGAAATAAAAGAAGTGTTTTCAACCCAAGGAATGGGATCATAATGTAGAGAATAAGACCCCCATCCTTTCACCATGAATCGTGTCCAAATAGATACTGTTTCATAGAAAACAGAAATTAAAAGTCAAATTAAACAACAACAACAACTGATAGCGCATCGGCGTCTGTGAAGGATACTTTCAAGAAGTAGCCGATGCCGGGATAGCTAAAAAAAAGGGCGAACTAATTTAGTTCAAATGACAAAACGTAGCAACGCGGGTTATCGTCTTGAGCTTGGAAAGTGAAGGTCACTTCAAATACGTCGTCTGCCGTGTGAAAAGAAACGACCTTCTCGTGTCGATAGGCATACGGCAAGAGCATCACCGCCTGCTTCCAGTGTGTAGAGGGGTCGACGGGAGAGGTTGAAAGGCAATTAGACCCATAACCCACCTCGAACCACAAGACGAACCCATCGACGGTGTTGACGCCGGTTTCCTCGAGTTTGCGTTTAAAAATCGCAGATTTCATAAATTCAAAGTGCACGGTTTTGTTCACCCATTGAATATCGGACGCTGGCAACGTGGAAAGATCCCTAGACCAGACGACCTCGCCTTCGTGCAAGAGGCAGCTTGGCGGAATCATCTCAATCATCGGCGAAGCCGCTTGGAGCGTCTGCTCAAACGCAAGGTGCGCGACGGAGCGCATCTGCACTCCCTCGACTGAGCCCCAGAATGGCTGGACCACCTCTTGGAAATACGGAAGCAAGGATACCGGGGCGGCCCTGATCACCGCGGATGACGGGACCATGCTAAGCGTGATGCCACCGTTAAGGGTCTCATTCACCTCATTGAAAAAGTCGCGCGCAAGCAGGACGGACGACAGCATCCCTTCGTGAAATAGGTAAAAGCCCATCCATTCCGAGACCAGGAGCGCGATGCCGCCTGCTTGGCGTAGGAAATGGTGCCGCGCAATAAAATCGTCGACCCCGCCCCCCACAAGCGACTCGACCGTCGTCTCGAGAACGTGTACGCGGTCGGCCACGCCGTTTTCCTCGAAGACCAACGCCTGCGCCTGCGCCATCGCGGAGGCCTCGAGGGAAATGACGTGGGCGGCGCCCGCCAGGGCGGCCCAGACCCCCAACACCCCGGTCCCCGACCCCACATCCACGACCACCTTCCCTCGAACCACGTCGGGGTTGCTGAGAATGCGCCTGTAGAAATCCATCCGCGGCTTGTCCGCGAGCATGGCGCGGTGCACGCCCCAGTCCTCGTACGCGGCGTAGTACTGCCGCTCCTGCGAGGAATCGGGGTCGAACTCTTCG